AACTTTTGGGGGTTCGATGACATTGCGAGCCAGTTTCATCCTAAGAGACTTATTTTTCTTATAAATGAATTTAGGAGTTTTAGATAAGAATTTATTTAGTATATCATCTTTTAACAAAATGGGCCAATATTTTTTAAAAATTCGTTCAATATTTTTGTATTGCATATTATAGTTAGTAATAAAGGGTACATTATTTTCAAATCCCAAATGAGCCTTTCTATTTCCAAGAAACGTCTCCCTATCTTTAATACTAATCAAATTTCTCTCTTTAATCAAAAAGGTCTTATCATACCCTTTCTCTATAAATCTTTCAATTAACACCTCAGATTGGTCGAAAAATCTTTGTTAGCGCTACAATTTCTTTTTAATCTGGTAAACTGACTTTTTGGAGTGCTATATAACCAATTTGGATGATGTCCACTAGAAATAGGTATATACAGTCAGGTCCATAAATATTGGGACATCGACACAATTCTAACATTTTTGGCTCTATACACCACCACAATGGATTTGAAATGAAACAAACAAGATGTGCTTTAACTGCAGACTGTCAGCTTTAATTTGAGGGTATTTACATCCAAATCAGGTGAATGGTGTAGGAATTACAACAGTTTGCGTTTGTGCCTCCCACTTGTTAAGGGACCAAAAGTAATGGGACAGAATAATAATCATAAATCAAACTTTCACTTTTTAATACTTGGTTGCAAATCCTTTGCAGTCAATTACAGCCTGAAGTGTGGAACGCATAGACATCACCAGACGCTGGGTTTCATCCCTGGTGATGCTCTGCCAGGCCTCTACTGCAACTGTCTTCAGTTCCTGCTTGTTCTTGGGGCATTTTCCCTTCAGTTTTGTCTTCAGCAAGTGAAATGCATGCTCAATCGGATTCAGGTCAGGTGATTGACTTGGCCATTGCATAACATTCCACTTCTTTCCCTTAAAAAACTCTTTGGTCGCATTTGCAGTATGCTTTGGGTCATTGTCCATCTGCACTGTGAAGCGGCGTCCAATGAGTTCTGAAGCATTTGGCTGAATATGAGCAGATAATATTCCCGAAACACTTCAGCATTCATCCTGCTGCTTTTGTCAGCAGTCACATCATTAATAAATACAAGAGAACCAGTTCCATTGGCAGCCATACATGCCCACGCCATGACACTACCACCGCCATGCTTCACTGATGAGGTGGTATGCTTAGGATCATGAGCAGTTCCTTTCCTTCTCCATACTCTTCTCTTCCCATCACTCTGGTACAAGTTGATCTCGGTCTCATCTGTCCATAGGATGTTGTTCCAGAACTGTGAAGGCTTTTTTAGATGTCGTTTGGCAAACTCTAATCTGGCCTTCCTGTTTTTAAGGCTCACCAATGGTTTACATCTTGTGGTGAACCCTCGGTATTTACTCTGGTGAAGTCTTATCTTGATTGTTGGCTTTGACACACATACACCTACCTCCTGGAGAGTGTTCTTGATCTGGCCAACTGTTGTGAAGGGTGTTTTCTTCACCAGAGAAAGAATTCTTCGGTCATCCACCACAGTTGGTTTCCGTGGTCTTCCGGGTCTTTTGGTGTTGCTGAGCTCACCCGTGCGTTCCTTCTTTTTAAGAATGTTCCAAACAGTTGTTTTGGCCACGCCTAATGTTTTTGCTATCTCTCTGATGGGTTTGTTTTGTTTTTTTCAGCCTAATGATGGCTTGCTTCACTGATAGTGACATGTCTTTGGAACTAATCTTGAGAGTTGACAGCAACAGATTCCAAATGCAAATAGCACACTTGAAATGAACTCTGGACCTTTTATCTGTTCATTGTAATTGGGATAATGAGGGAATAACACACCTGGCCATGGAACAGCTGAGAAGCCAATTGTCCCATTACTTTTGGTCCCTTAATAAGTGGGAGGCACATATGCAAACTGTTGTAATTCCTACACCGTTCACCTGATTTGGATGTAAATACCCTCAAATTAAAGCTGATAGTCTGCAGTTAAAGCACATCTTGTTTGTTTCATTTCAAATCCATTGTGGTGGTGTATAGAACCAAAAATGCTAGAATTGTGTCGATGTCCCAATATTTATGGACCTGACTGTAGCTGTTTTTGTCCACTTCCTTGAAGTAAGTTTTGGTACAAATTTGGCCATTATCTTTATATAGGACCAGATCCAAAAAATTAATTTGCTCAAAATCACTCATAACAGTGAATCTCAATCCATAGCGGTTCATATTAATATATTCCATAAAGGAATCAAGCTTTTCTCTGGATCCATCCCATACCATTATAATGTCATCAATATACCTCTTGTATAGCGCCAACTCTGGCCATTTATTGAAAATACTTTCTTCCTCCCATTTATCCATTACCAGATTTGCCACACTGGGAGCATACCTAGCTCCCATGGCAACACCCTTACATTTTGCTTCTTTTTCAGTTAATACCCCCAACTCTTTTCCTTTGTTAATAATACACTTAAGTAGTAATTTAAGTTCGCAGAGGAAATTTGTTGTTGAATTACTTGAATTTGCGATGAATAACAATTTCTTTTGGTACAACAACACTTTTTTTCAGCAATGTAAGGGTGTTGCCATGGGAGCTAGGTATGCTCCCAGTGTGGCAAATCTGGTAATGGATAAATGGGAGGAAGAAAGTATTTTCAATAAATGGCCAGAGTTGGCGCTATACAAGAGGTATATTGATGACATTATAATGGTATGGGATGGATCCAGAGAAAAGCTTGATTCCTTTATGGAATATATTAATATGAACCGCTATGGATTGAGATTCACTGTTATGAGTGATTTTGAGCAAATTAATTTTTTGGATCTGGTCCTATATAAAGATAATGGCCAAATTTGTACCAAAACTTACTTCAAGGAAGTGGACAAAAACAGCTATATACCTATTTCTAGTGGACATCATCCAAATTGGTTATATAGCACTCCAAAAAGTCAGTTTACCAGATTAAAAAGAAATTGTAGCGCTAACAAAGATTTTTTCGACCAATCTGAGGTGTTAATTGAAAGATTTATAGAGAAAGGGTATGATAAGACCTTTTTGATTAAAGAGAGAAATTCGATTAGTATTAAAGATAGGGAGACGTTTCTTGGAAATAGAAAGGCTCATTTGGGATTTGAAAATAATGTACCCTTTATTACTAACTATAATATGCAATACAAAAATATTGAACGAATTTTTTAAAAATATTGGCCCATTTTGTTAAAGATGATATACTAAATGAATTCTTATCTAAAACTCCTAAATTCATTTGTACGAAAAATAAGTCTCTTAAGATGAAACTGGCTCGCAATGTCATCGAACCCCCAAAAAAGTTCGATCTGTTTCCAAATTTAAATGTTTTTTTTCCTTGTAGGAAGTGTAAAGTTTGTAGGACTGTAAAAGTTGGTAATAATAAAAAAAGAAAGTCATTCTGCTCTTCATTTTCCAAAAAAGAATATGATATTAAATCCCTGATTACATGCAATTCTACACATGTGATTTATGTTTTAGAATGTCCATGTCATTTGAGATATATTGGGAGAACTGGGAGATGTTTAAAAACAAGAATAGGCGAACATATAAGAAACATAGTAAAAGGATTTGATAAACATAGTGTATCCAAACATTTCAAATTGGTACATAATTGTGATCCGAGCTTACTTACCTTTTATGGGATCGAGATGGTAAAAACCCCATTGGAGGGGCTCGGATTTGGTTAATGAGATTTCCAAAAAAGAGACGTTTTGGATTTATGAACTAAATTCCTTGCAACCATTTGGGTTAAATGTCGATATAGATTTGAATTGTTTTCTCACAAATTTTTAATTTTTTTTATGTTATTTTAAGTATATTTTTATATAGGCAACTGTTTAAAGATGATATATGGGAGATTGTATGTTTTTTGTACAATTTTTGCATTATTTTTGTATTATTACTAGAGTTCCCCTTTATTTGTGTTGAAAGTGTTACTGGCCCTTTAAGTTCCCTTTTTCAAACACAGTCTTAGAGGGTGCTGGCCCGTTAATGTATTTACTTATTTAATTTATTTATCATTAGTGTTTTATTCAAATTTCCTTTTATTCTATTTTTGTTCTCTTGTTTTAAAGTTTTTTTGCTTGTGATGGCAAATATATTGGATACATTGTATATCCTTTGTGGACTCCTGTCATCTGTGGGGCGGCTTGCTTTGCTTGATTTCCCATTGATGTCAGCTGTTCGTTTCCTGTGAGTGAATATTTAAGGAGGTTGAGACGTCTCACATCTATCCGCTCCGTGAGGACGTCAATGACGAAACGCGTAGGGCGGAGCTTGATTGATGTGACGTCATTGCGTTTTTGGCTGCCAGCTACTGCCCATGTGCTGAGTAGCCAGGCTCGTTTATGTGATTGCTGTTATGCTGTTGATGCTGGTGTCGGCTGGGGCACCTCTTGAGTAAGTGCAATGAGTACCTAATAAAGGAATTGGTTTTTATAATATTGCACCATGAAGTCTTTCTGTTTCTCTCGAGTGCTCGGCATTTCCCCCCATGGATACGTTTGAAGGTGGTCCTTTATCTATTGGAGAAGTGGATTTTCGATTAACTACAAAGTTTTTCATCCTGTTATTTCGATCGATGAGGATCGGTGTGTTGCAGAGTTTCCGTTTCTGAAGATATATTTATGGATGATCTGCCATTATATTATCTAGGTTTTTTGGTGAAATTTTTCATATTTAGACACTTTTTTTGCACAAAAGTTTTTTGCACTTAAAAGTTTTTTTTTTTTTTTGTGGTATTGGCATATATATTTTTTTCTGGACTTATGATTTGATGATTTCTTTATATATATTTATATATTTATACACATTTACTAGCGCAAATTATTTATTTATTGGGTCACAGGAAAATGGCAGAATTCCTTCATTCGCTTTTTTATAAAATATAGGATGTTGTGTAAGTAGTAGCACAATGTAGTGTCTGTAGTGCTGTGTAAACCTGACTCATGTAATGTCTGTCCACTCCTCATCCTATAGGAGGGAAGTATACCGAATTTTGCAGCAGGAGGGAATTGATCTTCCTCGCTATGCTGTACTTAACAGAGACCCTGACAAGCCAGATGGTGAGTTTGATTTTGGTTTTACTCGGCATTGCAGGACTTTCATACTCACAAGGTACAAATATGGTGGGCCTTTTACAGTATGTAATGCAATCCTTAGGGTACAAAATTAATGTTCATACCTAACAATTTCCAAAGCGTGGAAGAAGCAAATCACTCACTTCTCTGAAGTTGAAACTTGCATCGCATTCTTTATTAACGAACAAATAATAAACATCCTTACTAAAAAACACGTTACATTCCTCAAAATTTGGAATCTGTGGCTCACATACCTCCATCTGACATTTTCCGTGGCAAAAAAACTAACTGCTGTGTGAGAAACTTGTGTTTCTTTATTTCCTCCCCCTTCTTTTCCCCTCCTCCTGTAGCTCACAGTTCATATGAAATTATCTGAAGGGACAAACACGAATGTTTTTTCTCGTATGATACTAGATCATACGATTTTCATTTAAAGTGATACTAAAGCCTTTTTTTTTTTTTTTTTTAAATAACATGTCATACTTACCTGCTGTGTGCATAGAGCAGTCCCGATCCTCCTCTTCTCGGGTTCCCTGCTGGCGCTCTTGGTTCCTCCCTCCTGTCGGGTGCCCTACACAGCAAGCAGCTTGCTATGGGGGCACCCAAGCAGGCGTGCTCCCGAGCTGTGGCTCTGTGTGTCCATTCACACATAGAGCTGGGGCTCAGCCTTTCCCCTCCCTCTCCTGATTGGCTTACTGGCTGTGATTGACAGAACCGGGAGACAATGGCTCCTGCTGCTGCCTCAGCCAATCAAGACTGGGAGTCCCCGAGGTTCTCGTGGACATCGCTGGATCAAGATGGGGCTCAGGTAAGTATTGGGGGGGCTGCTACACACAGAAGGTTTTTTTTACCTTCATGCATAGAATGCATGAAGGTAAGAAAGCTTGAGCCTTTAGAACCACTTTAATCAGTACTTTCAGTATTTTTTTTATCCGAAAAAACAGTACAATACATTATATTATTTCCGAAGTTGTATTCTGTCATCTGAGAATTTTTGTAAATTGAGTAACCTTCATTTTCAATATGAGACTAGCATGCAGAAGAAAAAAATGGATGATCATTTGTCAGGTATTCTCATTGTGTGTACGAGGCTTTATCTAACTGACTTAATTGTTATATTCTTGTTATGTGTTCATGCATGGTGTTTATACACCAGTTTGTAATATTCATTAATTCAGATATAGGTTCATATTTGGAGCACTGAATAAGTTGAATGTTATTACTATTTCACAGAGTGTAATCTAATAGAAGGTGAGGATCAGGTAGAAGTGAATGGAGAAGTCTTCCCAAAGCCATTTGTAGAAAAGCCAGTTAGTGCAGAAGACCACAACGTATATATTTATTACCCCACGTCAGCAGGAGGTGGAAGCCAAAGACTTTTCAGAAAGGTATGCCGCATGTGATAATAAAATATAAGCTTGCTTGAAAAAATCTATTCATGTGAGTGCTGCCTGTCTGCTGTCTATTTCCACAACTTCCTGGTTTCCCTGTATGCTTTGCAGCTTCTTTGCCGTTTACTTTCAATGTCTAAGGACTACATATACCATGGTACCTTGCATGCAAGCAGAGATTCCTGTACTGACTCCACCTCCTGAAACTCCTCTTCTCAGCACCTCTTCCATTCAGGAACTATTGACCATATGCATGTACCAGGGAAATGCATGTAATGGCGTTTACAGGCGTATATTCGCAAATGTAGGCTATACGTCTGTGTCTACATCCATTTGTGTGAGCCCTTAATCTGGTATTGTCAAGTAGCTTGAAGGGTTTGGAAACTTCTGTACAATCCTGACATCTTGTATAATGGTGTCCACATTCTTATCTATGTAACCATTCAGTCAGTATTTAGATGCAACTAAACTGATCGCAAACCAAAGACCCTCTGTTCAATAATAATAGAGAGCTCTTGAGTGATTTAAACTCTGCCGATTTGATCCGTGGGTGAATGTTGTCGTTCACTTCTCTTCGTAGATATATCTGTACTGAAGAGCAAATCAGTTTTAATCAATTGTTTACTGTTATGACTGATTGAATATGTTTCTAATCATTGTTTTCAGTTTGGAAAAACTGTGAAATTGTATATTGTATTGTTGAATATTTTATTGATGATGAATTGCATACAGTTTTCTTAAGCAAATATTTTTTTGTGAATCTGTGGCAATTTTTCTTACCCAGAGATCCTGCTAGTAACAACACTTCCTGTTTCAGGCTGACAATGTCAAGCCACTGCCTCACAATTAGCAACAGCATTGTTAGCCTGCTTTGACTACTCCTTTGGTTGGCAGTTGGGCTGCCAGGATAAGCAGATTTGCAGCAATGGTCCAGTTGAAGGAGCTCGCATGGCAAAGCTGCTGCCAACTTGCAACACATTCACAATGATCAATTTGCTTAAGAAAACTGTATATAGTAGTTAGGCATCATGCCAAACATACAGGTTTTATAAACTACAGTAATTAAGGCTGATAAAATGGCTGTTGAATCAGTTCCAAGAAATGCAGCTTACTCTCTGCCTGTAAATTCAAGTGCATTAAATTTAAAAAGGAAACTCTTTTTATGTTGTGCATTTAAACTACTATAAGCTGCTGTAAAGGTTTGTTTCCACTAGGCTGAAGGTCCATTGTGGTGTCATTCGTTTTAAATGTCACCCCAATACACCTCCACTATGCACAGCAGTGGACCACACTCTGTAATGTCCATTCAGATGTTCTACGAAAAATGCTGCAAGTTTTATTTTTTCATGCATTGATGTGAAATGCATGAATGTTTGTGTTGCAGCGCAAGGAAGGGGTCCTTAATGTTGGATGTGCTCTGTTTGGATGGATTTTTAATTTTGTTTTTTCAATACAGATTGGCAGTCGTAGCAGTGTTTACTCCCCAGAGAGCAGTGTTCGCAAAACGGGATCCTACATTTATGAAGAGTTCATGCCGACTGATGGTACTGATGTTAAGGTACAGCTAAAGGATCTGTCTGCCTTGCAGGCTCTATTTTTTGCAGTTACAGAGTGATAAATGTAATCTGCTCATATTGGTTAGGTATACACTGTAGGTCCAGATTATGCCCATGCAGAGGCCCGCAAATCTCCAGCTCTGGATGGGAAAGTGGAGCGTGATAGTGAAGGCAAGGAAATCCGCTATCCTGTCATGCTCACTGCCATGGAGAAGCTTGTGGCACGGAAGGTCTGCTTGGCATTTAAGGTTGGTATTTATTTTATAAACTAACATACCGTGCTAATATAATTGTTTGAATATATCCACTGCTGTCTGTTTTACTCTTTCCCAAATTATTATAGGATTTTTAGATTTCCTAAATTTGCATGTTTTACTTTTAAATTTGGCCTCATATAGTCAGGATGACAAACAATTATAGGTCATTTCTGTATGCTTGGCTATGCAGTTGTCTGCAGTACAACCTAGGAGCATTATAAATCGCTTGATCAGCAGGAAGTTATCTGCATGCCTGACAATTTCTTCAACTGCTCTGCTATATCTGCATTTTTTAACCATAGGCAATGCTTGAATCTATTATTGTTTGTCAGAAATAATGTATGTATAGAATAATAATCCACTCATGTATAATCAGAATTTTCTGTACTACAGTGCGTAACTAGACATACAGAAAGATACAGTATACAATGAATGACGCCATTAATAACCTCATTGCACAGTGCTAATGTATTAATCTTTCCATCAACTAATACTTGATTGCTCTGCTATATGAGGTTGTTGTTTGCTTTATTTGTTTCACATTTTTTGGGGTTATTAAAGTGGTTCTAAAGGCTCAAAGTTTTTTTTCACCTTCATGAATTCTATGCATCAAGGTAAAAAACCTTCTGTGTACAGCTTCCTACCCAGCTCCCTCCTTATACTTATCTGAGCCCCATCATGTTCCAGCGATGTGGACAAGAGCCTCGGCTCTCTGGGGACTCTCCCTCCTCATTGGCTGGGACAGCAGAGGAAGCTATTAGCTCCCGCTGCTGTCAATCGCAGTTAGTGAGCCAAAGAAGAGAGAGAGGGGGCAGGGCCGAGCCACGGCTTTGTGTGTGAATGGACACGCAGAGCAGCAACTCAGGAACAAGCCTTGGGTGCCCCCACAGCAATATGCTTGCTCTGGGGGCACTTGGCAGAAAGGAGGAGCCAGAAGTGCCGAGAAGGGGAAGATCGGGGTTGTTCTGTGCAACACCATTGCACAGAACAGGTAAATATAACATGTTTGTCTTTTTTTTTTTTTAATTGCCTTTTATATTACAAAGTACATCAGCTATTCTTTGTGATTTTCATCTATTTTTTGACTATCAGGCAAATTTATTAAGGGTGATATATTTAATACTTTTCATTTAGAGCAGAGTGTGTATAATTTCATTATTGTCACATAAAGACACAGTAAATTTCATGGCTACAGATATAAAAAGAATTTTGTCAGAAATATAGATTTAAGAGGTAAATGTAAGAATTGTTCACCAGTGAGCTATTACAAGTTTGTACTTATACAATGTTTTACTTGAGGACAAAGCATTTCTTTTAGTGCCTTATAGTCAGTACTGTATTGTATGTTTGTGTACCTCCTAGCATATGATTGATTCTTCATATTTGTATGTTTCAGCAAACTGTTTGCGGCTTTGACTTGCTAAGAGCCAATGGGCACTCGTTTGTTTGTGATGTCAATGGTTTCAGTTTTGTTAAGAACTCCATGAAATATTATGATGACTGTGCCAAAATACTGGGGTATGTTACTATTGCCTTTCTTTCCTTGTCTGTAATTGTACCCATTAATCATTCTTATATGTGTTTTAAGCTTATGGGTCACCCTCAATTAAAAAGGAAAAGTACAGACTAAATGCACAAATTCTGAAAAAGGATGGACTCTTGATAGCTGTTTTCTTAATATTTGGATGCAGGCTTGGAAAAAAAATGTCTTGTTGAAAAGAGCTAAACTCTAACAAAACAAAACTACTTATTGATCATAATTTAAAGCATGCTGACTTTCACCAAACATTCACTGAAGGTAAAGCTATCATTGACATTTAAAATACCTGTAGCAAGATCCCTGAATTTCCCCTTGCTTTTGGTTTTGTTCCTGCATTGTTCACATCCTGTAGGGTTTAGTATGAATTTTATGTGAACTTGTCCACATTCCAGCAGTAGCTGAACATCACCATGTAACTGCAGGGTAGTGTGCCAATGCACTGTGCATTGGCACGGATGCTTGTAGTTTAACTCATAAGTGTACAGAAATAGGTAACAACCCTGCAACTACATTCATTCGGTTTTGGCACCCTAGGAATGTAAGTGCTGTATACATTGTGCAGGGATGTGTTCCCTAACTGCCTTGCTATATTGAATGTCTGTGTATTGTCTTGCAGAGCATTGCAACCAGGAGTGATCTGTGTGACTTCACCTACCAGTTACTCTGTTGATGAGGCTTCAGAGTCCCAGTATCAGTGCGGGTACAGAGAGTCCTGTCTAGTTTGTCAGCTGCCCAACCCTTTTGTGAGCTTGTTATCCAAGGGTTCGATCTAGATTTCACAAAATATGGATGCATTGTTCTGGAAGGGTCTCTCTGAAACCCTCTCCTGGAACCTGGGTTAGAGGGTACTGCTCCTCCTAGGGCCATGGCCATGTGGACCCAATAAGATTTCCAGCTAGAGATATCACCAGGACAGAGTTACACTGGCTCAAGATCCCCTGTTACCCAAGTGCTGTTAAAATGTGGGGGTGTAGTGGCTGTGAGGTAGAGGTCATTTCACATGCCCCCCCCCCCAAAATACTGATACTCCTATGAATTATTAGAAAGCAGGTTGTATAAAGAGCTAGCTGTTAAATTTTGTTCTGTTATTTCTAGCATTTCATGAAATTATGGGAAAGATGGTAACTTCTTGCATCTGCTTTCCTTAGGAATATAATTATGAGAGAGCTTGCTCCACAGTTCCAGATCCCCTGGTCTATCCCAACAGAGGCAGAAGATATTCCTATAGTACCAACCACGTCTGGAACAATGTAAGTGATTGAGATACATATACTTTTAGTTATAAGTCATAAATCAGCATGTCTACAAAGCATTGTATTTTATGCTCGTTATGTTATTTTGCATTATTCTAGGATGGAGTTGCGATGTGTAATCGCAATTATACGACACGGTGACCGCACTCCAAAGCAGAAGATGAAGATGGAGGTTCGACATCCAAGGTAATAACAAAAGAAGGCAGTTAAATGTTTGGTCAGCAGTATATAAAATAGCAGGTTTAGAAGAGCGCTATACTTATTTACTTTCCTTTCCTTTTTTTATTTCCTTTGAAAGAGGACAAAGAGGCCTCCCTTATATTTTCTTGTTTAGCTCGACAGTTTTCCTTAGCTTAAATAATCCATTATTACCCAGTATTTTATTTTAGGTTATGACTAAAGGATTGTATATACAGAAAATAGAGTTCTTGGTAAAATAGAAGAAGTGAACTATAGAAAGCCTTTAATTAGTTGGGTATTTTTTTCCCTATTTAAAAAAAATAAAGGACATGGAGTTTTATTTCTTATTTTGCAAGTGTGTAAAAGTAAATTTAAGTGCTTTTTTTTTTTTTTTTTTAATCTATAGGTTCTTTGAGTTATTTGAACATTATGATGGCTATAAAACAGGAAAGTTGAAGCTTAAGAAGCCAGAACAACTACAGGTATAAGTTTGTACATTTTGTGAAAATGTGATGATTAAGCACACTAAACTGTGCAGCCCCTTTGCTTCTTAATTTTTTCTCTAATTTTGATGAGGAAAAAATACTTCTCTCGGTCAATTCTTAGGGCTGGCCATACATTATACAATTATCTGGAGATTTTTGGTTTAAATTTACCAAAAACCATATAATAGGAGGACAAACCTAAACAACACTTTCAGTTGTATCCAATTAGGCAGGCCCTTGCACTACACAGTTGAAGGTAAATCTAAAGGAAAGTGGGCAGAAAATTGGAAGATAATTGTATAATGTATGGCCAGCCTAAGAGATCAAGCACTCAAAGGAAGTCCTCCCAATTGAAAAAAATTAACAAAAATATATTTTATAATATACCTAGGGATGGGCTTGGGTTCGGTTCAAACTTGAAAGAAAGATGTCAATAGCAGCCCAATCAGCAGTGGCTGGGGAATTCTGCGCCTGTAGGTGCATGTACACAAAGCAGTGGGTATTCCAGTCACACCATTGACCTAATACATACCCATATTATGTCAATGATTTCATAAGCATCCTCACCCCCCTGTGTACATGCAGCTACAAGGTGGAGAATGCTACAGCTACATCTGATTGGGTTGGTACTGACAACTTCCTTCATGATTCGGCCGAACATGAGTTCAAACTAAACCCAAGCTCATCCCTTATTACCTCCTTACACATTCAAATATTTCTGTGAAAAGAAAAGGAGTTGATGCTTCCTTAGGGCCTCGTTCACACCAAGTGCAGAGACTTGAGTTTTTCTGAACCTGTTCTGCAAGGGCACAAAGATAACAATTGTTCTCTATGTGTCCTGTTCACACCACAACACTAGTATCACCTGCAGATTTTTTCTGCGCAGGAATCTACAACATATATAAAACTCATTGAAACGTGCATGTAAACTGATGGAGACTTGTGTCCCCTGTTTTTTTCTGTCAGTTTTTCTGCGCATATGGTGCGGATGAAGGCTTAAAGATAAGCAGGCAAAGACATTTACTGCATTAATTGCTTATTACTTGTTAAAGCTGTTCTTCACCCTAGAAAAAAATACCCTGTAGCTACTGACTTTTAATCAAAAGACACTTTTGCCAGTCTTTGGGTCCCTGATGCTGGCATCTTTAGTGTAGGAAGCTGGCTGTGACTGCTTGCAAGCTGGTCCCGCGGCCTTTTGGGACCTGTGGCGTGTCCCAGAAGGCTGCGCACAAATACTTGAATTCCCATAGCCTGGCCACAGTTTTACTCTAAATGAGAAATTTCCTATTATTTATATCAATATTATATAATTTAAAACAGAAAGTTTTAAAACGTTATTTTTTTCTGAGTAGGTTAGTACGTAGTAAATGCTTTAATACTTCATTAATGTATTTATATTTAAGGGTGTTTTGCTTTCTTTTGGCCCACCTTCTTGAAAGCTTTAAAGGATATCTAAACCCAAGAACAAAACCATACTATAATGAAGCATAGCATTCTATAGATATGATGGCTACATTCGTTTTAATTATTCAGGTTAGGAACATCTTCAGCAAGTAAATGAAAATAGCTGTTGGTATGCCAAAAATATGGTGTCCCTTTTCACATCCTGTAAGCTGAACTAAAAGGAAAAACTATGTTCTCTTTTTCCTTTTGTAAACTACTTACACCTCTAACTCCATGTAAAGGAGGTGAAGCGAAGAATATTAGCCTGGTTGACAATTATGGCTCCCCTCCATAGATACAATGGAGGGAGTGATCATAGCTACCAGGAAGTGTTATTTGCAGGACTACCATAAAGTAAGTGAAAATAGAGGAAAAAACTTAAAAAATGAAAACTAATGCAGCAACAAATCTAAGTTTTGGTAAGTCTCAGTATATTTATTTTTTGTTTTCGAGTTTAGATACACGTTTTAATGGTTCTTTTCAACATTGCTGCACACATCCTACTAAGCAGAAGCAATACTTTCCATTTCGTGGCTAGAGCTGACAAAATCAGAACATATTCCGATGGATACATGTCTCTGTGTTTAGGCTTTAGGCTCGGTTTACACTCCTGCAGGGATATGTGAAATGCCATGTATCTCTATGAGAGCGGTTCCAATTTACACTAATGAAGTTGCGGCAACTTCAGAAAAGTTCCTGCACTGCTTTGAGGCAACTTTAATTCGGTTTCATTGCCACGCAGTGTAAAAGCCCTTTCAAAGTCACATCAAAGTTTTGCCAAAGTCGGTCTCCAAAGTTGCACTGAAAAATTGCATGATTTTGGAGCCAGGTAGTGTTAACCAAGCCTAAAGTATGCTTTATAGCTAGATAGGAAAGAACATTTTACAGAATAAATAATTGGATAAAAACTGCATTCCTGGATGATTTTACACAGGAAGTGCTTGACATAGCAAGACTTCTGCTATCAGAACTTGGAACGCACAGTGACTGCGAGATTGAAGAGAGGAAATCCAAGCTTGAGCAGCTGAAAACGGTCCTGGAAATGTAAGTAGAAGAAATGTCCACAGATCTGGATAATAGAGTAAAAGTATGAACAAAAGTTTCCGGCCACTTTATTAGGTACACCTTGCTAGTCCCAAGAAAATATTCCCCACACCAGCCTTAACTGTTGATACAAGGCAGGATGGATTCATGCTTTCATGTTGTTTACGCCAAATTCTGACCCTACCATTCCGAATATCGCAGCAACCAGTCTGCCCATTCTCCTCTGACATCAACAAGGCATTGTCATCCACACAACTGCCGCTCACTGGATATTTTCTCTTTTTTGGACAATTCTCTGTAACACCTAGAGATGGTTGTTCATGAAAATCCCAGTAGATCAGCGTTTTTTTAAATACTCAGACCAGCCCGTCTGACACCAACAAACTTGCCTCGTTCAAAGTCACTTAAATCCCCTTTCTTCCCGTTCTGATGCTCGGTTTGAACTTCAGCAAGTCATCTTCACCACGTCTACATGCCTCAATGCATTGAGTTGCTGTCATGTGATTGGCTGATTAGAAATTTGTGTTAACCAGCAATTGAACAGGTGTACCTAATAAAGAGGCTGGTGAGTGTGTATATCTTATATCAAATAAACGTCACCGTTCAGAGCAGTCAGAATAGTACAAGGTATTGCCAGTCTGTTGCTATGAATACGTAGAAAACAAAGTTATTGGGGGATTTTAATGGTGCTTTAACACAGATTTATACAGACACATTTTTTCACCATTTATTGGATTGCATAAATAAAACATTTAGTAAAAACAATGCAATGATGTAACATGGTCTGAAAGTTCTCATTTAAAAGTGGTAAGATTATGAACGCTCCCAACATGTTTTTTGCCCTCAGGGCTTCTTCAGGGATGAGTTTACTATTGAAATATCTTGAAGCTCTGTAAGAGAACAAATCGGTAAATATCAAACAGGAATAATACAATGCATCATTCAATTTTATCTGTAAATCATCCAGTGCAATGCGCATACTCACAAGCAACATCATAAACCCATAGGGCATTAATGCTTAATACCTTGCATATATAATATGCACCAACATATGTACAAAAGACACCAAATAAAGTGACAAAGTGCTTAGTGCCAAAAAAACATAAACAGTTTGTGTAAAATCAAATAGTCCAATATCTTCAGTGGATGTGTAGACAGGTGACATGCATCCAATTGTGACAACTCTATTGTGAAAATCCTTCACCCATTTGCACTCACCCAGAACTCTGTTTAAAAACAGGCCTGTAATATTACTCCAAGCTGTGACAGCTCCCTCCACTCCTTCCTTTTCATGCATCCTCATGCAGCCACCAGGAGTGATACAACCAGCTGTCTTTCAAGGTGTGTTCTGGTGATCTCTTATCGGACCCATGAAGAGGAAGGAGTGAAGGGAGCTGTCACAGCTTGGAGTAATATTACAGGCCTGTGTTTTTACCAGAGTTCTGGGTGAGTGCAAATGGGTGAAGGATTTTCACGGAAGAGTTGTCACAGTTGGATGTATGCCTTACATTGAAGATATTGGACTATTTGATTTTACTTAAACTGATATATATCTGTTTATTTGGCACTAAGCACTTTTTTGTCACTTTATGTGGTATCTTTTGTACAGATGAATATAGTGTGTATTTATTGATCCATAGGACACACAAAACACCAGGACATGAATACAGGACGTGTTAATGCATTTCACAAGTCCTGTATACATGTCCTGGTGTTTTGTGTGTCCTATGGATCAATATATACACACTATATTCATCTATCCTCCGGTGTGCGGCTGAGCCTTCTTCCTATTGCATCGTGTGTGGTGGCGAGCCAGAGTCTGCACCTGTTGTGGATTGATCTGGATTGTTTGCCTGAGCGGTATACCTTTTTGTTCTTTGGTGTCTTTTGTACATGTATTGGTGCATATTATATATGGAAGGTATTAAGCATTAATGCCCTATGGGTTTATGATGTTGCTTGTGAGTATGCCCATTACACTGGATGATTTTGCAGTAATTTTGGAACATATTTATATATGAATTGTTAATTTTGTTTAGTGGTTTTTAGAGCTGCACTGTCTGTTATTTATGTTATTATTGACTTGGTCGCCTTTCATGCTAGCAGCTCTCTGGTTTCCAAGTGCTCTCTACACCGCTCTCTTTTTACATTCATTTTTATCTGCAAATTAAATAAGTTCACCTTTTCGGGTATAATTTCACATTTAATTATAAGCGCTTCCAATGCCATTTATGGCCCAGCCATCCCAGTGTGCTTCTCTCTCTTACCTTATCTAAAGATGGTTTAAAATCTTGTCAGTTTGAGTTTTTAAAATGATTTTCAGATTCCATCACTTCCTGTAGATCGTCTCTCAGCATTCACTTCCTGTAGGCCATCTCCTAGAAGTCTTCACTTCCTTGTTGCATCACAGAAGAGGGCATGCTAGGGTGTGTTCACCCCTCTGGACCACACATCTCTGATCTTCCACTCACTTTCTATACAACCTGATTGTACAATCTACTTTAGATCTACCATCAGCTATGCACTGCAAGAGCCTGCCTGATTTGATACAAATTGAATGAATTGGTCAGGTGGGTCCTCCTATTTCATACTTATGGAAAATCTAAAGGAAATTGTACAGAGAGTGTCCAATCAAATTGCACAGTGTATGACCATCTTTATACAAGTACATGGGAGGAAGTGGTTGGAGACATTCCATTGTCAGGCCCGTTCACATCTCCACGTAGCAAAGACTCACATTCCCACATGCGTTTTTTTTTTTTGGGGTGTTTTGGAACGTTTTCACTCTTCACACATAGGGCAACTCATTCACTAGAATGGGCTGCCGTACATGTAACAGTCGCTGCAGAAAAGCTCCAGAACTTTTTTGGGGCGGAGCATGGTGGGGGGTTATCACAGTTTTTGTGCGTTTTCTGCACTTGGGGTGCCTTTAACATGTAATGACAACACAAGCACAATTCACTTTTGCACCGTGTTTCTGAAATGCATAGCAAAGCGTGCATTTTCTGTGCAGTTTGCCATGCGTTGAGAAACTCACAGATGTGAAGGTAGCCCCTGAGGGCGAAACATGTTGGGAGCATTCATAATTTTGCCGCTTAGAAATGAGGACAATCGGTTACATCATTACTGTGTTTTTATTAAATGTAATCCAGTAAATGGTGAAAAAATTTTAAGTTTTTTGTCTGTATACATAGTGTGTATATATAGTGTTAAAGCACTGTTAAAATTCCCAATAACTCTGTTTTCTATTTATTTTCTCTTTTTTGGATGTGGCGCAGATACCAATTTCAACTGCCCAGACCCATAATCTATTCCCTCAAAATCCTTTGCTGTGGTTTCTTACACATATTGAATTGTTTTTTTACTGTTAGAGCCCAATGTTATACATAAAGTTTGTGCCTGTTATTATTGCTTTCTGTGTCCCGCTGGAGAGATTCCCCTTTATTTCCTGTCTGTCTGCCAGCTGTTAGGCAGCAAGTGAGGGGAATCAGCGGGTACATAGCCGTCAGTAAAACTAAAAACATCTTAGTATTATCACTGTCTGTGCCCCCTTGGGAAAGTTTCTGCTAACTTATGCACATTTATTTGTTGTCCGAATAGAACATGAGAGAAAAATCTCTCTATTGGGATTCAAGATGGCAGTGAAAATATAACAGAAGTTTTATTACATCACCACTCCTGGAAGGAGAACATGCTTAGCAGGAATTGGGAATTATCAAAGGAGTGGTGTACAAAGTGTATTAGCGACCAAACGTAAATGATTTTGTTCTGATTACTTTCACTGCTGAAAAGTAAGATAGGTTGGTATAATGTGTAGGGACACATCGATACCCTTTTTTTATCGGCAAGTATGAGTACCGACATTTACGGTCAAGTACCCGCCGATACAGAGCACTGGTACTTTACGGTGTGATTTGCACCGCAAAGCATAGCATGTGATTCTAACAAGAATGTTATTCCTGTCTAAGCCGCATGCAGTTTCCCCACTGCTCCTGTGTGAAACCAGGCTATCATAGCCCGAGTTCACAGAGAGACATTGCAGGGAGGTTTTCCACAGTGGAAAGTGGGAGAGTGAGCGTGTGGGGATGTATGCCATGGTGGTAGATGCTCCATATTCTCAGTGGTAGGAGAGACGAGAAAGCGGCAGGGATTTGAAATCCCCTTGGCTTTCTATCCTCTCCTTGCAGGGATAACAGTTTGGGCTAGAGGGTTTTTGATTGGTCAGCACCGTCACATGGACGGTGCTGACCAATCAGATGACATCTAGCCGTACTGTCATGTGCTTACATTTACATGATTACATGCTTTATTTTTTATATTTTGGTTATGTCACTTTTACCTGTTAAATGGTCACTCTGCGCCCCCTGGTGGATTGTTTACTGCAGTTACGTGCATTAGAATAAATATGATCACTTATGTTAACCACCTCCCCTCTGGCCATTGTATATAAACGGCCGAACGGTGGCACTGCAGGGTAGGGTGACCGTTTATAAATGGCCTCCATGCCCCCTGCTTGTGCACGCTCCCTGGGAGCGCGCAGCACCGCAATCCGGTACCTGCTGTGTCCTCTGGGCACAGTGAAACACCGATCGTCGGATGGGACCTCTGTACGAGGTCCCGATCATGTGATCACTGATTGGCCAATCGGTGACCCACATGCAAAGTAGTAAGCAAGATGTCACTTGTGACATCATTGCTTACTACGTGTGAAATCTGTGAATGATTACAGAGGTCACATGGTACAAGGCTATTCACAACAGCCTTGTACCATGTGACAAGCTGTGACCAATCACAGCTCACTCAGTAGTTCTCAATGGCTGCAAGAATGCAGCTAGAGAGGAGAAATGATTGATTTTACATCCTATATGGGTGTAAAAGCAATCCGTGTAAAAGAAAAAAAAAAAATCTTCATCACCCCCCACAAGTAGTACAGTGTCACCATGGTGACACTGTACTGCTAGGGTGACCGTATGTAAAAGAAAAAAAAACATAAATAATATTAAAATAAAAATAAAAATGTTTAAAAATTATAATTTTTGGTTATAAACTAATTTGGCTTATTTTTTTTTTTTTTTTTTTTACTAAAAAGATATTGGAATAATTTTTGGCCAAGATTTATGATGAAATATTATTTATTTGCAAAGTTTTATAAGAAAAACCTTTTTTTTCAAAATTTATGGACTTTTTCATTTACATAGCAAAAAAATAAAAATCCCAGCGGTGAATAAATACCACCAAAATAAAGCTTTATCTGTCTCAAAAAAATGGTCAAAAATTCATATGGGTACAGTGTTGCATGACCGCGCAATTGTCATTCAAAGCGTGATAGCGCTGAAAGCTGAAAATTGCCCTGGACAGGAAAGGGGTAAAAGTGTCCGGGCAGGAAGTGGTTAACAATAACCCTGCTCCCTCATTGTATGATATATTCTTAAGACAGGTAAATAATACATGTTCGTTTTTATTAAATAGAGGGTTTCGTTGACATTTCCTCTTTATCTGTGTTTTTCCTGTACTTTGCACACAATGAAAATTGGTGATTCTCTTTTCTTTTTTTTTCTTTTTTTATTCAGGTACGGCCATTTCTCTGGTATTAATAGGAAAGTTCAGCTGACTTATTTGCCCCATGGTCATCCAAAAATATCCAGTGAGGATGAAGGTAAGAGAAGGAAGGTTTTATCAGGTATACCACCAATTTGCACAGTAGGATGAGTTTTCATGTGTTCAGCAACTTTGTGATGCAATTTAAAAAAAAAAAACAAATTAAATATAATGTCTTCATAGATGCCCGGAAGGACTCCCCATCTCTATTGCTAGTCTTGAAATGGGGTGGGGAACTGACACCAGCTGGGCGAGTACAAGCAGAAGAGCTAGGGCGGGCTTTCCGCTGTATGTATCCTGGAGGGCAAGGTAGGTTTATCTTTACATATTCTTCTAAAGTGTAACATGTTACTTGTGCTCGTGTAAAGTATGTACAAATGGGGAAAGAAGTTAAATAAATGCAGATGTATTTTCCAAAGCCTAAAAGTATCTTTCTAGATGTTTGAGACCAGCAGATATTCAGCATATCTTCGAGAGGGTGTCTGGAAGACTCAGTGACTGTCGTCATTCTGGTCACTGGGAATTTTAACATGCTTCCACCAAGGGCATATCTAGAAAGCGTTGAATATGACTTTCAGCAAACATTTACTGGTGCTGAATCAGTCACTGTCATTTAAAACACATGCACCTGAAAGATTCACCTGCAATGAATGTTTGGTAAATGGTATTCAGTACTTTATAAAGTTATCAGTGTTTTTTCTATATCTGCACCTTTTTACTGGCACATTCACTTACATAGCTGCCACTAAGGGGGTTATTTACTAAACCTGGAAAATCTGGTGCAGATCTGCATAGAAACCAATCAGCCTCCAGGTTTTATTGCCAGAGCTAAATTGAATAAGCTGACGTTAGAAGCTGATTGATTACCATGCACAGCTGCACCAGATTCTGAGTGCTCCAGTTTTAGTAAATCTCCACCTAAAGGACATATGCTGAGCATCAGAGGTACTTGTTCTTGTTGAATGTTTGAACTTAACTTCAGTGTGTATGTAGCTCAACATGTCTTTTGTCTGCAAGGAAGATTGCACAATGCTTGTAATAACTCAATACCTTTTTTTTTTTTTTTTGCTTAGAGTTCTCTAATTCTAAGTGCAATATTTTTATCTGTATGTTATGTAAATGTAATTCATTCTCCTTTTGTAACCTGTCCTCTGTGCTTACAATTCCTTTGGCCCTAGTTAACCCTCTGTCCTCTCCTCTCTGTGTCAATGTATCATTCTAGTGGGTGGTAACATCCCGGCTTTGGGCTGTAGCTCTCCTGTAGACTGTGGTAAGAGCCATGATTGTAGTGTGATTTGCACTTTTCCCCTAATTGCATTGGGAAAATCTTTTCCCTTGACTAAAAAAAGACCCTCTGGGGTAACAATTGTAACTACTCTTCAAAAATGAACTAACAAGAAGATGGTTTAGTTCATAACAATTAATCAGATATTTGTGTTATGCTGCAAGTGATACTAAAATGTTTGTAATCTTGCCTCTGGCAGCACTTTTTTTTTTTTTACATAAATGTCCAGCTGTGTGCCAGACATTTCTTTAGGACATTTCCATACTTGCAATAAAAACCTCTTAATTTAGCTGGTTACTGCTTATCTAAACCTCAGACCCTGTCAGCTTACAGGACATTTATGTAGGGCTGTTATTAGTGGGCACATTGGGCATGTGTAATTGGGAGCAGAAATGTCCAGAGCCTTATAAACGTTTGGTGATTTGGCATTGGTTTACCTAGCAGCACATTGGATCATCACTTCATCATCAGAAGTTCTCATGATGACACTGATGAGGTCATAACATAAAGGTTACAACAACAAGCTTCTTTCCTTTAGGATTTCTGTTGACAAACATGGTTTTCCTTCATTATACGCATGTCAGCCACAGGTCAGCAGTGACGCAGTATAGGAACTGCGTTTGCCCTGCTTTGTGTTGAGCTGCGTTTTCCTAACTGTGCTTGGATTGCTTGAAAAGCAGGTCAGATACAGCCTGTTCTTGGCAACGAAGTGTTTGACAAGAACACCCCTTCAAAATGAGCCCTTAGCAGTGAGCAAAGGACAAGACAGGAGTTCAGGAGAATCACTGACCCGGCAAGCGTTAAATAGGGGCATAATGCACTATATGTCTATCAAAAGATTTTTTTTTTTTTTTTCTAGCTCTGTGGTACAGCATTTTTTTTTAGATTATGGAGTTTTGAAGGCATGCTTAGAAACAATTGAGTACTGTCCGTGATACTTTTTTTATTTGCAGTAACATACAATTTTGAGGACAAGTTTTCGGGGACTGTCCCCTTCTTCAAGGTCCAAGCAGTACTATAAGATGTAGTACAGCTTGGACCTTGAAGAAGAAGACACTCCCCGAAAGCTTGTCCTCAAAATTTTATGTTAATGCAAATAAAAAAAGTATCACGGACAGTACTCAATTGTTTCTGTCACAAATACACAAATACGGCTACAATCACCGAAGGCATGGTTAGAAGTTATATGTTAATGGATATTTAACAAGTATAAAGTGTTTTAGCTTGCGTAGTCAGTGTTGCAATGGAAGATCATCTGTAGGCAGGCATTGATCTCACATTCAAGAACTCACTCATACTGGTCCACTCAAATATCCAGACTAGGACTAGCTCATAAATAATGGAGGAAAGAGACTAAGCGTAAGCATAACATCTATAGTCAGGTCCATAAATATTGGGACATTGACACAATTCTAACATTGTTGGCTCTATACACCACCACAATGGATTTAAAATGAAACAAACAAGATGTGCTGTAACTGCAGACTGTCAGCTTTAATTTGAGGGTATTTACATCCAAATCAGGTGAACGGTGTAGGAATTACAACAGTTTGCATATGTGCCTCACACTTGTTAAGGGACCAAAATCTGCTCATATTCAGCCAAGTGCTTCAGAACTCATTGGACGCCGCTTCACAGTGCAGATGGACAATGACCCAAAGCATACTGCAAAAGCAACCAAAGAGTTTTTTAAGGGAAAGAAGTGGAATGTTAGGCAATGGCCAAGTCAATCACCTGACCTGAATCCGATTGAGCATGCATTTCACTTGCTGAAGACAAAACTGAAGGGAAAATGCCCCAAGAACAAGCAGGAACTGAAGACAGTTGCAGTAGAGGCCTGGCAGAGCATCTCCAGGGATGAAACCCAGCATCTGGTGATGTCTATGCGTTCCAGACTTCAGGCTGTAATTGACTGCAAAGGATTTGCAACCAAGTATTAAAAAGTGAAAGTTTGATTTATGATTATTATTCTGTCCCATTACTTTTGGTCCCTTAACAAGTGGGAGGCACATATGGAAACTGTTGTAATTCCTACACCGTTCACCTGATTTGGATGTAAACACCCTCAAATTAAAGCTGACAGTTTGCAGTTAAAGCACATCTTGTTCGTTTCATTTCAAATCCATTGTGGTGGTGTATAGAGCCAAAAATGTTAGAATTGTGTCGATGTCCCAATATTTATGGACCTGACTGTATCTCTTTAGACATTTAGATAGGCTTTTGCTTTGTTTTTATGTAGTTTTTGTAAACTGGCCCCATCGTTATTTTGTACTTTATCTCCTAAGCATTGATTTCTATGTATTTTTGGACATTGCCATCTGTTTTTCCTCTCAATCAGTACGAAGGCAAACATTGCTGTGTATGTTTGTTTGTATTTTTAATTTGTTTTTATTGAGTATATGTAGACAGATGTACATTCAGTCTGTGCTGGTTTACTGGTACTGGTAACAGATGCAAGAAAATTATTTGAATGGGTATGATCCCTTTTCCCAATAAAAAACGAATGGCATGCCCTCTGAGGAATGTGTTGTTCCTTCGTATGCCTTTTTGTTTTTAACAATGTAAGGCAACACTGATTTTTTTCAGTATGTGTTTTTTGGGCATATTTATCCATAATCATAAAATTTCCCATTTCTAATTAAGAAGTTTAAATCCTAGTTTGTTTCCTAATCTACAGTATACAATTTCACTTAAGTGAATGAATTGTTCAGAAGATTTTCTGTAAAAATTGCAGGAACCCAAAATCAATACCTGCTTTTCTACAGCTATTCCGCATGGGCATGCAAAGTCAGGCACCCAGATTTTTTTTGACCGGTTATCTGCGCAAAGTTGGTCAGGTTACACTGATTGTATCAATGTGCTTGAGAAGAAAAACAGCGGGGTACATAGTAGCAGCAACTAGAGCTTTCCAGGCTGTCCTGACTGACCGCAAATACATTACTAATTAACCAATTAAAAAAAAAATTCTAAAAAAAGAAACCTTGCTAAAAATCAATCTTTTTTTTTTTTTTTTTTTTTGCATGCCGTATTTTGCTTTTGCTACATCATGGTTAGTTGGTTACATCTGTGTGACTTTGGTGTATTTTCCAGTATTCTAATGGTAAAGATGAATTCCAGGTATGCATATTATTGCGATACATAGTTACATAGTCTGGCTGAAAATGAAAAAAAGCCAAAAGTCCATCCAGTTCAACCAAAAAAAAAAAATTATAATCCTATACCCACAGTTGATCCAGAGGAAGGAAAAAAACTCAGCAATGCATGATCCAATTTGCTCCTGCAGGGGGAAAAAATCCTTCAAGATCCACCAACAGGCAATCGGATATTCCCTGGATAAACTTTACCTATAAATGTTAGTAACCAGTTATATTCTGTGTAACCAAGAAAGAATCCAGGCCTTAAAGCAATCCACTGACCTGGCCAGAACCAACTCTTGAGGGAGTCTATTCCACATTTTCACAGCTCTTACTGTGAAGAAACCTTTCCATATTTGGAGATTAAATTTCTTTTCCTCCAGACGTAAAGAGTGCCCCCTTGTCCTCTGTGATGACCTCAGGGTGAATAACTCTACACCGAGTTCACTATATGAACCACTGATGTATTTATACATGTTGATCATATCCCCCCTTAATCTCCTCTTCTCAAGAGAGAATAAATTCAGTTCCTCTAATCTTTCCTCATAGCTGAGCTCCTCCATGCCTCGTATCAGTTTGGTTGCCCTTCTCTGTATTTTCTCCAGTTCCCCAATGTTTGTTTTTTTTTGTTTTTTTGTGAATTGGTGCCCAAAACTGAACTGCATATTCCAGATGAGGTATTACTAATGATTTGTACCGGAGTAATATATCTCTCTCTCTGGAGTCTATACCTCTTAATACAAGAGAGGATTTTGCTCGCTTTAGAAACCGCAGCTTGGCATTGCATGCCATTATTAAGCTTGTGATCTACCAGAACTCCCAGATCCTTCTCCACCATTGGTCCCCTCAGTATGTATGATGCATGCATATTCTTAGCCCACCCAAGTGCA